CTTTCTTGGAATTCGTATAGCATAAAATATATTCTAAACAGATCTATTGAAATCTACTGAATTTTCGACAAGGTATAATAAAACTCAAACTGGCAACTCTGGTTCGCGCGAGTGAATTGAAAATTATCAAGTATTCACGAAATCCAATAGATTTCACTTGTGAATGGGACCATGATGAGAATATAAGAGTTTGAGGTCGACGAAAAAATCTAATATGCACCTCAGCGAAAAACTGTCTATTGTCTCGCCTGATTGCTAGCCTCGGCTAAGGCCTCGACTATCAATTCGAAAACTCGAATATAATAGACGATGTCTCGTCCTTGGCACCAACATTATTCCTTCTTCATATCAATGATCTGTTGGGAATAACAACTTGCCGCATCCACAGCTTTGCTGATGATAGTACCCTCCATACTGCGTTCTCTTCCAGAATTCCCATTTCTTCCCAGGAAATTAAGAACTCACAACGCAGGCAGGTCAATGCTGTCAATGAAGATCTTGCTGAATTCACAGCCTGGGGAACGGGGAACCAACAACCTAGTTTTGAATTCAACGCCACCAAAACTCAAGCCTGTATATTCTATAGAAAGGCGGAACTCAGTATGCCCGATATTGTAATGTCTGGCACCACCATCCCCACCAAGCCGACCATATCTATGCTCGGTATTTCCATCAGCAACACTATTTCATGGGATATAATCATGTCAGATCCATCGCAAAAGCTTCATCACAAAAATTCGGATTCTTGTTCCGTGCGAAAAGCTACTTTACACCTCAACAGCTTCTCATGATCTACAAAACGCAGATACGGCCTGTTCTAGAATACTGTTCCCACATATGGGGTTCAGCACCAAAACATACGCTGATGCTATTAGATTCCATCCAGAGAAAAGCCATTCGCCTGGTGGGTGACGCCACACTCACTCACTCTTTGACATCATTGGAACACCAAAGAAAGGTCGGCGACCTTTCACTTTTCTATCGATACTTCCACGGGAAGTGTTCTTCGGAAATCTCTGCTATCATCCCTACACTAGCAATACCAGTCAGACCAACTAGACAAGCCCAGTCAGCACATCTTTTCGTTGTCAACCTCGAAAGATGTCGAACAGCACTTTATCAAAACTCCATCATTCATAGAACGGCTAGGCTATGGAATTCATTGCCTGAGGAAGTATTCCCAACAACATATAATATCCAGAAGTTCAAAAATACCAATACCCCCCTGTCCCAATCCTCCCTAGGAACGCACGATGTTCTTTGAACAATATAAGGATTTCCTTTCGTGAGCTCCAAGCGATAAAAAAATGAGGATATTTTTTCTGCTTGTTTCTGTTTTGTTTGAAATAGGTTACTTTTCTGTTTACTAAAATTACATAATGTTTTGACGTCATAGGTTTATTACCGTATACTTTCTTGGGATTCGTATAGCAATAAATAGATTCTAAACAGATCTATTGAAATCTACTGAATTTTCAACGAAAGGTATTTACAGATGGAATAAAATTCGAACTGGCAACTCTGGTCCGCGCGAGTGAATTAAAAATTATCAAGTATTCACGAAATCCAATAGATTTCACGTGTGAATGGGACCGTGATGTGAATATAAGTGTTTGAGGTCGACGAAAAAATGTAATATGCACCTCGGCGAAAAACTGTCTATTGTCTCGCCTGATATTGCTAGCCTCGGCTAAGGCCTCGGCTATAAATCTGCAGACTCGACTATTCACGAGGTTCACGAAGTGGGCGACATCTAGGACACATAATACGAACTTCAAACTAGGGGAAAACAAACTGTTGTCTATGGATAAAGTGCATAGACTACATTGCATTCAGCTTGCTGTAGCTGTAGTCAAACTTGTCAATAGCATAGGTTGAGATTTCACATCAATTCGTACTGGTGCGTTCGTAATTGATTGCACTTGATAGGCTATAGCTCATTTACTATAAATTTTAGAAGCACACTCAATCGAGACGAAATGATCTCCAACGAATTCCCCAAGTTTTGGTGAAAAAATTAATCCAATAGGATGAATCAATACCGAGTTATGGTGTTGTAACGAAATTCCATTTAATTGAAAATCAGGACGTTGTACTACAGAATACTATTTTTTGCAAATTTGGAATCGGAATAAGATGAAACTAACTCAATATATCAAACTACGAATAACGAATCAATTGAATAGTGAAAAAATTGTAGAGTTACCTACCATGAGTCCGAGAAAGCGCGTGAAAAATGGGTCATTATATCTACCTACCCAAATTTCGCTGTATTATGATTTTATTTCTAAATGGCGTATGGTTCAGACCAACTAATATTGGTGTCTGAAAAATTCGAAACAATATTTCTACAATGTAAGTCACAACATAAAATTTTGGAGAATTTAGCAGAAATTAAAATCAATTCCTTTCTCAATTATTCCGAGAATCAATGTCGCAGTTGTGGGTATTTTGATGGAATCAGCAGAACATTCTCTAAAACCATTTCAAATATTCTGTTGAACAATTATTGCAAAATAAAAAATAATTAGAAAAGAAAAATCACTAAATAACTTTCAGGATATGTCCAGATTTCAATTTTTAGTTTGTGATTTAGATGGTGTATATATATATATATTGTTATTGGTGTATTTCATTTTGTGGTATCTATCAACTTTTTTTATTTTGTTATGTTGATCATTTTTACAGTTTATTTTGTTTGGTTTTGTTTGTGTATGAGGATTCAACTTTTTTTTTCTTTTTTCCTTATTCATTCATATAGAGTGTCATTCATAAAGTCGGCATCATATGGGAAAAACTTTTATTAATGAGTTATTTTGGAATTCGAGTTGGACCTTAAGTTTTGCTTCAAAAACGATGAAAAATGGCCTACTCAATCAGGGTCACGTGACTTTCGCTACATATGTCAAAAGTGACATTGTTTCAAATTGATCGCTGAAAGTAGGCTTATTTGTTCGAATATCGAAAAAAGTTTACTTGAAAGAGTTGTTTCTATTTCAATTTTACACATGCTTCTCGAATTTGATCATTCTATTGCAACTTTAAGATTTTGTTTTTTTTTTAATTTTTCGAAATTTCTGTAATATTTGGAGAATTGTTAATTCCACGAAACTACTTCATACCAGTAGATTTTTCATGCTACTTACTTTCAATTACTTATTATCACTGATTATGGACAGAAATATGATTTTCTTCAGAAAATGATAATACCCGCTTCCAAATTCTGTTATGTTTGATGCAAAGTTGATATATCGTCAAGCATTCAGAAACAAAATTCATTTAAACTGATCTTTTCAGTACTGAAAAAATAAATTTAAATGAATTTCGTTTCTGAATGCTCGACTTAAACATAACAGAATTTTGATGTTATGTTTGCATCACACATAACAGAATTTTGAAGCGGAGATTATCATTTTCTGAAGAAAATCATATCTTTGTCGATAATTAGTGATAATTAGTAATTGAAAGTTAGTAGCATGATGAAACTACTGGTATGAAGTTGTTTTATCGAATTTACAATTTTTTCAATATTACAGAAATTTCGAAAATTTTTAAAAAATATCGAAATCTAAAAAATGTAATAGAAAGATAAAATCCGAGTCACATATGTGAAATTCAAATAGAAACAACTTTTTCAAGTAAACCTTTTCGATATTCGAACAAATAAGCCTACTTTCAGCGATTAATTTGAAAAAATGTCACTTTTGACATGTAGCGAAAGTCACGTGATCCCGATTGAGTAGGCCATTTTTCATCTTTTCTGAAGCAAAACTGATCGTCCAACTCGAATTTCAAAATAAGTCATTAATCAAAGTTTTTCCCATATGATGCCGACTTTATGAATGACACTGTATATCGTTGTTCTGGGTTCTTTGTCATTCAGTTCGTTATATCCATTTTTATATCTCTCATTGTTGAAAGACATATTTTTTCAATTATTTTTGTTAGGTTGTGTTCATTTGAACTCCACATATTTTGTTCTTTTCAATTTTGATAGTTTGCCAATTATATCCAGATCAAATTTTTTTTCATGAATTTAACGTTATCATTCAAATATATACTCTTCAGCAGAAAATAATTAATACCGAATAGGCGTTTTTTTGTAATAACACACTCGAGTGATAGGATTTCTAACGTCATCAAAGTGCGTCCTGATCATCTTCAGAGTAAACGCTGCTAAAACCCTTCGAGATAAAGTGGATGTGTATTATACCGATTTGTAGGCAATCAAATTCCCTTCAAAAAAGTCAGTGACAGCATATATCCATAGTTGATAGGATTAGCATGGGAGGCGTCCGAACTTTTTGAACAATTCTGTAATGAACACCTGAATCATCGTTCTACTTGAATTAAAATATCGGTTTGTTGTTGGCCCTTGGGAATTTGAAAAAAAACTCAGTCAATCTAGATACTATGCGAAATCTTTTCATGATTGAATCATTTCTGTGAATTGAATATTGGAGTTTTGGTAGCTGTTTAAAAAAGGACAATTCCGAATGGCGTCAATTAATTTTGATATGCTATATTTCTGAAATTAGTGATCGTAAATCAGTGAAATTTTATTCATCTTCTGGAAAATTCTGTTCTGTACATATTTGACCTCTTCATATTTTTCGCTAATTGTGACCGTTTTCCCGAGGTAAATCAATGAAACGGGAGAGACAATTTTAACTGCGTTGATTTTGTCCCTACTAGTGTGACATCACTAAAGCGATGCTCCGGCCCGGTGAGATAGAGTAGGCCTTGGCTCAACCAGAGATTATACATACTAATCTCTGGCTCAACCCATCATAGTGGTTTCATCAAGAACACCGAGGGCCCTTTCGACAGTTCAAAAGGAAGGCTGCGAAACCGCTAGCACTTGGTTCCACATATCTAAAACACCGGCTTCAAAGAAATATAGAAGGTAAAGGTAATACGTGATTTTGCGATTACAAATAAGAAAAAAACGAATCAGCCCTGGAATATCCTAGTGGCGTGTACAGATACAAAAATAACTATTTCGTCATGGAGATACCGACTTCATTTCATCATTAGATTTTCACAATGTATGAAAGCGAACATGCAAATAGTTCATGCTAAACTACTAATATGAACATTTAGCTCCCTACGACATCAGATAGTAAGTTTTCACACGGGTAGTTTGAATTGTTCATTGTGCTTCAATCGGTCATTGCATATCTTCGAAAATCAATGGAAGTCATTGGTGTTGGCTGGAAGTCTTTGGTAGTCACTGGAAATCTTTGGAAGTGTTTGGAAGTCTTCGGGAGCCACTGGACGCCTTTGGAAGTATTTGTTCATTGGAAGTCTGGTCTACACATTTTTCCCGGATATTTACCCCTCGATTTGTCTCATTTATTATAATAATAATATATTATGAACTCTGGATAAAATTCATTATCAAAATATTTCACAACTACGTTATTATTACTCGAGAGGTCTCCAGATGTATCGTGAGGTAATGGAGGGATCACCATACCATCATGGCCCCAGCATCTGGATATCTCCATTTCCCTCGCCAAGATCATAACTCGTGGGTGCTCAAAATATTTTCTTGGGTAATCTGAAGCGTAACTGGAATGTGGTGAAAACGAAACTCCTTGGCCAAATTTGCTCGACCTATAACCACTAGCTCCAAGTCTACGCCAGTCAAAATTCCCTTGGCAAATCGAGTCGACATTATATCCCTTCGTACCATGGTAGAGCTGATTTTCCTGGACACTTCCATGAAGTTCTTTCTTCTGTTTCAGTTTGAGCTCGTACTGGAGACAGAGAAATGGATTCTGGATTCTCACGATCTTGTGCAGTTCAGCAGATGAATCATGAAATAACCAATCATTCTTGAACTTGGTTTCGATTTCTCGATATATTTTGCCACCTGGCGCGATCAACGTATATGGTAAATTGTAATCAACGTTGATCCAAGTGCTGTACATCCTGCTATGTCTGAATAAATCTCTTACGAACGTAGGATCCTTTTTTATTTCTATGGGAGCGAGTTCTTCTAGTTTTTTCTCTTCATCATTTAGGGAAATTTGACTGAGGTCTTCGATTACTGTGTCCATTCTGATTGAAGAACAATGCACAACGCACAATGCACCAGAAGTTGTTCGGTTCGTTTAATTTAAAAGTGACTCGAAATATTATCTTTATGGCACCTATAAATAATTTTTCAGGTACTTATAGGTTACTCCTCGCATGTACATTTCTCATCCCTGGGAATCACAGAGATAACATATCATGTATCATTTTTATCAATTATCAAGTACACACAAAAAAAGAAACTCTTGTTTTGAGCATGACTGCATTGCTCCGAGATAATAATTTTTCGGCAACGCTTTCTCTTTGAGAGAGTAGCATTTTCCGGCCTAGTCTGGGAAGTGTACGCACTTCCCGGATTATGCCGGGAAGTATCACATCTTTGTTTGGTTGCAATTATCGCAAAAAACTATCGAAAGCAACTGCGATAGTGAGTTTGAAAATGTCCATACCAAATTTCCAATGTAACAGTTAGAAGGTACAGGTATTTGGTTCAAATTTCAGAATTTGATACAAATGAGAATTGAAATACAGGGTGTCCCAGAACAACGTACATTAAATTCAACAGGGTGAACTAGTGTTCAAAATAGGCCGATTGGGACCAACTTACCTCAATACGAAAATGCACCGTTGGGTGGTGAGAGGGTATGAATGGAATTTTTCTTTCAGATTTTATTGAATTTTTCAAAATCCTTGAGAGGTAATGATCTGAAATTCGGAAGGCAGTCAACTATAAAACAAATTTATCATTCTGATTAGAGAAAATCCATAGAATTGTTTTTTGAGTACGCCACTAACCATATTTTAATATCTCCTTGAATAACAAAATCAATTAGCCATCTTTTTTCTCACTACATTTCTTTCTAAATTTTGCTTGGTTTACGAGATATCTGAAAAAATTCTTTCGGAGCCCCTCCATATCATCCATAGTCCAAGATATCACAGTTATCGTGTTCTGCAGGTTTCTTCCTCCTTCATGTTGATATTTTGGTCACGTATTCATGTTGATCATTTAATAAATTTTTCATCATACAGAATGGCCCATTTTCAACTTGACAGGGAGATTTTGGGTGATAATAGCGTAGATACGAAAAAATGCTCAGATCGGTCGATTTTAGTTTGCACCTCCTGCTAACAATCAGAGTCGTTTGCAGGTTTTTTTCGTTCTGTTCAGAGTTCGGGGGCACAGATATCATATCAACTACTTTTTCTGCTCAATCATTGCTTAGTAAGAAACTTGGTTATGCGATAAATTCGCCGACCGGTGGATTGGAAGAGGTAAGAATGCACCAGTGCATTGGCCTCCGCGTTCTCCAGATTTGACGCCATTGGACATTTGTTTCTGGGGATTCATGAAGAATGAAGTTTATTCAATAGCTTTCAATAGAAAGGAAGTGCTAAGAGGAAGGATTTTTACAGCAGCTGATAAGTTTCGCAATATTCCAGGAATATTTCGGAAAATACGATTCCACTGCGTGAAAAGAGCTCGTTTATGTTTGGAGAATGATGGGAGACATTTCGAGCATTTGCTCGATTGATACCACCATTATTCTCGTTTTCTTTTTATGTTTTCTTGACTGTTGCAATAGTTATCGATTATTTATTCATTATTCAATAAAAACATGTTTCCTGTTTGATGATTCATGATTGAATATTCTTCCTACTTGTTTGATATTTATGGAAGAGCAACTATTATGGATACCTTCTGTATTGAATTTGTGTAGTGATTTTGATTCGAAGAAGGATGAATAGAAAATTATTATTATTATCCCTATTTTTATATATTATTATTATTATTATAATTATTCTTTGTCTCTGAGATCCAGTTCATTTTCCAATCATTGATTTGATGAACTCATTTGATAAAGGGCTTGCTAAAATGCTGAAAGAAACCTTCAAACGACTTTGATTGTTAGCAGGAGGTGCGAACTAAAATCGGCCGATCTGAGCATTTTTTCGTATCTACGCTATTATCACCCAAAATCTCCCTGTCAAGTTGAAAATGGGCCATCCTGTATGATGAAAAGATTATTAAATGATTAACATGAATGCGTGACCAAAATATCAACATGAAGGAGGAAGAAACCTGCAGAACACGATAACTCTGATATCTTGGACTATGGATGATAAGGGCCAGACAGCACCAGATATTCCATGAATCTCCCTGTCATATTCTTCTTGGAATATTGAAATATTCTAGGAATGATCTGGAATATTCCGGAATATCTGTGGAATATTCTCTAAATATGCGAATGGGAATTCCTCAGATATTCATAGAATATATCCAAAAGAATATTCTATGTTGAATGTTCCTGGAATATTCCAATAAACATATTCTAAAATAAAAAAAAGTTATCCAAGTAAGGATCGAACTCGTGACCTTCAAGACTATCAGAGCAACGCCTTTACCACTAGGCCAAATATCGAATTGAATAATGTTGTACATATATCAATGTTTCGTGAGAGCGTTGTTCGAAATCGGATCATAAACACTTTTTGTTTCAAAATCCCCTTACATCTAATTGATGTTTGATACTCACATCTCTGAAATAATGATTGGTATTTATTTGTTGAGAAACATAGGAATATTCATGGAATATTTCATGAATATACACCACAGAATATTCAGTTGAGAATATTTCATGAATATACCGCACAGAATATTCAGTTGAGAATATTTCATGAATATACCCCACAGAACATTCAGTTGGGAATATTTCATGAATATACAGCAGAGAATATTCAGTAGGGAATATTCCTGGAAAATTCATATACCTGAATATTCCCTTAACATATTCGACTACTCACTTTGGAATATTCCTTTTAGATATTCCAGAGGCATGTAAATATTCTAGGAATAATCGATGAATATTCGGAATATACTCCTCCTTTTCAGCATATTTAGAGAATATTCTAAGAATATCCAGTGCTGTCTGGGAGGGACTCCGAAAGAATTTTTTCAGATATCTCGTAAACCAAGCAAAATTTAAAAAGAAATGTTGTGAGAAAAACGATAGGTAATTGATTTTGTTATTCAAGTAGATATTAAAATATTGTCAGTGGCGTACTCAAAAAAAGTTCTATGGATTTTCTCCAATCAGAATGCTAAATTTGTATCTTCCTGTATATGAACTGATGATACCTGTTATCTATGCACACTGCTTATAGTTGACTGCCTTCCAAATTTCAGAGCATTACCTCTCAAGGATTTTGAAATATTCAATAGAATCTAAAAAAAAAATTCATCGTCCTCTCACGGCCCAACGGTGCATTTTCGTATAGAGGTAAGTTGGTCCCAATCGACCTATCTTGAACCTCTAGTTCACCCTGTTGAATTTAATGTACGTTGTTCTGGGACACCCTGTATAATATGGAAATGTGTCTCATTGATTTGTTATTCCACATGGTTGCCGAAAAAATGGTGTACGCAACACGTCCGAAAACAGGTTTTTTGGACTCGCAGACTTCCAGGACTCGCCTAGGGCTTGGACCAGAATTTTGTCAACTCGTCCATCAGAAAAAAAAAACAGTAATTTCCGAACTTGTTACGTAAATTACGATTGTTTGTATATAGGGTCTATCTGAATAACACCGAAAAAATTTAAGGGGTGATTCTTTGTGGTATTTTAGGAAATCAAGTTCTTCTTCTTCTTCTTCTTCTTCTTCTTCTTCTTCTTCTTCTTCTTCTTCTTCTTCTTCTCTGCACAGGTGGGCGGGTGCGTAGACCCCTGCACTCAGGCCTCTTCAGTCGGGCCCATTGTGCGCCCACTTCTCCTGTGAATCAGCTGGGCATGCCGATTTCCTTGACGAAATTCAGCAGCTTCCTCAGCTGAGTCATTTTCACATCCTTTGGGTGCAGTACAATGCTCCCAAAGGCAGCTTTCCTCTGATGCACCAGCGAGGGGCATTCAGTGAGTATGTGTGATGATGTTTCATCATCCTCCAAGCACCATCTGCAGATGGGATCATCTTTGATCCCTATGAGTTCTAGGTGCCTGTTGAGGTGGTTGTGCCCAGTTAAGAGCCCAACTACCATCTTGAGATCCCTTCTATTAAGTGACAGGATCTCTCTCGTGAGCCTTTTTGAAGGTTCCTTCATATGGAGCTTTGATTGTCTCATTCCTGGTGTGTCCCACCATGTTTCAAGGAACTGCCTCTGTAGCATTTCCTTCATGAAGGACATAGCCGTACTATTGGGTATTCCCAATATCGGTTCTGGTCCAATGGGTGTCGTTCCTGAACCGATCTTGGCTAGTCTCTCTGCCTCCTCGTTCCCCGGGATACCAGAGTGTCCTGGAACTCACATGAGGCTGACTTTCCTAGTTTTTGCCATATTTTCTAAGGCACTTCTACACTCGGACACCAATTCAGTTGTGATCCTATTGGATCTCAATGCCATAATAACAGCTTTACTGTCCGAGCATATGGTGACTGGTCCACGTCCACTTCTGCCGAAATTTTCTTGGACACACGTCAGAATTGCAAACACTTCGGCCTGGAACACTGAAGCGTATTTGCCAAGAGGTACTCAATTTCATATAGACATGTGTTGCTTCGTTTTCGAGATACAGGGCATTAATATTTCCATGGAAAATGTTATTCATTACTCAATTGTCTCTCCATCAATTTCAATAGAACGTTGTGGTTCTGTTAATATTAATATGGAGCATCTTCTGCTTCAATTAGATTCGAAAGAATATTTCCAGTGGCATCACAGTGGGTAAATTCATCGATATTTATGGTGAATGTCATTGGTTTTTCTGAGTTTCATATTTTTATTAGATTGAACTATTGAAATAACTTATCTTTTGTGTAATATTTGTATCTAGCTTAATTTTTGAGGAAACAATAAAAATCCTATTTGACTTCAAATTTCAATGAAGGCTTGTTTTCAAGACTTCCATTGGGATTAATCTAAACCCAATTAGAATCATCTTGAAATTTTGGGGCGAATTTTCGGGGCCTAGGACAGACACATGTTTATATGAACCTCATTTGCTAAAATATCACAAGTAAATACCCCTTGAATTTTTTCGGTGTTATTTAGATATACCCTGTATATAGATAACAGAATTTTCCAGGTACTTATAGGTAACTCCCCGAATGTACATTTGTCATCCCTGGG